TCCCCTGGAGTGGCTGGTACCTCTGCCTCCTGTCCTCAGGTGGCTGCTGGGCAGGATGGCACTGGATGGAGCAGTCTGGAGCAGGGTGATGGCCCTCCTTTTCCCTCTGCTCCCTTGGAGCAAGCTCGACTGCTCTCCCCTACCAGCAAGTCTCCTCCCCTGTTTGTCCCCCAGTCTGTTTCCCTGGATATGTCCAAGTTTGTCTTCCAGTCTGTTCCCCCTGCTTCCCTATGTGTTCCCCTTATGTCTGAATGTGTAACCAGTCCCCCTGTTGTTCCTGTTGTTCCTGTTGTTCCTGTTGTTCCTGTTGTTCCTTGTGTTCCTGTTGTTCCTGGTGCCGCGGGTGCCGCTGGCGCTATGGAAGACAGGACTGCAGGGGACTCCCATCATCCTCAGCCAGCAGTCCATACTGAGGAAACCGCCAGTGGAGGTAAGAAAAGTATGACTAACATTGTGTTTGACTCCACTGGTGGTTTAGGGATGGCTGAGGAGGATGGGAATATGGATGTAAATGTAATGATGGGACCTATTGGCCTTAGTAAAAAGGTCCACAGCCAGCCTGTTTGTATTAATGATGTTGCCCCTGCCCCTGGTGTTGTTGCCCCTGCCCCTGGTGTTGTTGCCCCTGCCCCTGGTGTTGTTGCCCCTGCCCCCGGTACTATTGCCCCTGGTGTTGTTGCCCCTGCCCCTGGTGTTGTTGCCCCTGCCTCTGGTTATGTTGCCCCCGCCCCCGGTACTATTGCCCCTGCCCCTGGTACTGTTTCCCCTGCCCCTGGTTATGTTGCCCCCGCCTCAGGTTATGTTGCCCCTGCCCCTGGTTCACTGGAGTTAGTTGGTACACAGGTGGCGGGCACGAGCACAGGCACCCTGACAAAGGGTGCCGCGGTTATAAATAGTTTAGACGCACAAGCAGGTACACGGGTTCCCCTTAGGCACTCCCAGGTTGTCACCCAGGGTTCTGGTGTGACCGAGGCCTCTGGTTCAGCGAGGGGAGTCCGTCCGAATCATTCCCAGACGGCGGGTCCCGGTGCGCCCAATGCTTGGGCATCTGGGCCACCTCGCCTCTCTGCGGACGGGCCTGCTACGCGTCCTCAGGTTTCCTTTGGGGACAGGAGGAACGTGGTACGGCTCATCTGTGGGGGTGAGACCCAGGTGCCTGACAGACGGTGGCTGGTGACCCGGCTAAAGGATATGGGATTTGCGCCCGTGGACCTGTATGCGCTCATCCATGCCTCGGGCACCCGGGAGTTCGACGTCTCCTTTATGACGTCGCAGCTCCTGGATCGCTTCTGGGCTGGGTGGGAAGCGGCCAGGTCTGCACAGGGTACAAAGTGGGCAGGATTCACCGCTGTGGCCATTTCTCGCCAGGGTCTTAAGAAGGTCACTTTCCTGGTGAGAAATGAATCCATCCCCATAGCAGACATCCTTGTTTGGACTAAGAGGTATGGGGATGTTAAATCCCCCCCTGTTAAGATCTTAGATGAGGATGGGATTTGGACAGGCGGATGGACTGTTTCAGTGTTGCTGCGGGAGATTCGAGGTGTCACACAGCATATGCCTAATAGTTTTTTCATCGGGGCTGACCGGGTATCCTGTTTTTACCCTGGTCCTCAAATGCACTATGTGCGGCGCTGTGGGGCACCTCCGGGACAGCTGCAGGGAGATCCGGTGTCATCTGTGTTCAGAGATGGGTCACACGTACCGCACCTGCCCCGAAGCCCAGCACAATGTAGAGTCCATCTGGAGTCAGGAGCCGGTGTAGATGGACTCTGCTGGGTTAGGGGTTCAGGTAGCATCGTCATCTACAAGGCCCATCTCTGGCACAAGGGTTTCCCTGCCCCAGCAACAACCCATCCTCCCCTCGGTCTCTGTAACATCTCAGGACCCTGGGAAGGCCACAAGTTCACGTCCCCTCACGAAAAGTGTACGTAGAGAAAGCACTACCTCCACAGCCATTATGGCTCCCCCTAGACCCCCTCCCCCTAGGCCCCCCCTCCTAAATTCTCCACGGTGAAGGTTACCCCCACTGAAAAGTCCCCAGATGCACGTCCCTTAGATGCACAGTCCCTAGAGTGGAGCACGGTGAAAGGTAAGAAACCCCCCCTCCAAGACTTCGACGCTGCCCTCACCCCGGAAGATCACCATACCCCCTGCAGCGAAACCCCCGAAAGGGGGAGACGCCTGAAAGGGTTAATGTTGTAATGGACTCTAATCCCCTCGGTTCTCGATCCCTCGGTCACCATAATCAACGTTGATGGAGAATCATTTGTAAGCAATAACACACGGACAACAGCTTTACAAGACTCTCAAATGAGTGTATTCCAGAGCTGGCTTTTATACATAGTTTGCTTACATTAGCCATGGTATATGCAGATACAGTACAGACTATAAGATTTATTACTTCCTTGTATTACGTTATTCTGACAATGGAAAGATAAGCTTTTGCATACGTCTGGAAAAGAATATCCTTAAAATCGGAATGGGCAAGACATCCTGAAATTTTAGCATTGTCTTACATCCTATAGAAGAAATACCTTAGTCTGTCACAGTCAGCATATTGACTTTAAGTATTCAATATTCCTTCAGTCAGCAATAATCATGTTATAAACCTTATAAAAGCATAAAATACATATAAACAAGTTAACTATTTAATATTCTTACATTCCCCTCTTTGAGCAATAAAACAATTGCTCATCTTATCGATAAAATCTTACCAGGACAGAGAAACTTCCACATGGTATTTTCAGGGGTGCTAGTCACTCCCTGCGGGACTTTCATTAATTTCTTCACCTCGATTCCCATGTGGTAATTCCTAAGGCCCAGTTTAAAGATGGGTTGATACCCTCCAGTGGCAGAGAGGAGAATTTCTAATTGTTTCTGTTCTGCATTATGGATTCATTTCTGTACTCTCTTCCTCAATGTACAAGTAAGATGACAGTTATATAAAATCATACACAATAAAATCAGGACTATAATAACAAAAGGATAGAAGAATGATTTCATTATCTGGGATCCAGTAGGGGACCAACCAGTAAAGCATTGTACCAATTATGGGCTGAATCATTCTGAATTTGTGAACTCACCTTAAGGAGTTCTCCTTTTAGGATATGTGTGGCTACCTGTGTATGTTATCTTTGGGAAAAATATAGTCCCCTGTGTATGTGGGTGCCCACCAGGTTAAATTCTTGGCAAAAAGATCATAAACTGGTACTGGTAATGTGTTAAATTGACAAGCTAATTTAACATCCTTTGATGATGTATGATATAATGTAAAATAGCATGAGCATGAAAAATGTGAAACATTACCAGTTAACCATCCATTGCATTTACTGGATTGGGGTTTTAGAAGTAACCATTCATTATCTGTGAGGTTACGCTTTCCTCTAATCTTCTCTAGTTTGGGAATCATTAGTGTGTTTTCTAATGCCAATCCTTGTTGTTGTATCCATAAATACCTGATGGCACAAGTACTCCAGTTACCGAGATCTGTGGTGAATTTCATAGTTGCAACAGTTAAATTATCTAAATAATTATACATTGATTTATCTAAATCCAATCCTATAACCTGTGATTTAACAACAATTGGAGCCCAGTTTGCAGTAGCATGAAAACCAGTCCCTATATGCATGCTGGCTGTGTTTAACTTATTCTTGAGGGTCTCCATATCTATAACTATTTAGTATACCCATAGTGGTTCCAGCACCATCTAACAGTGTGTCATACCATTCCCTTTTCTGCCTTTGTTTGTTGTATTACATAATGTTACAACAAGAGTAGTGACTTTTAATGACACATGTACAGCTTGTAAGAAGGCAGTTGTATTAATACATGTGGACGGAATAGGTGTGTGTGTGTCGTTGTTGACTTTTGGTTCTATGGTAGAGGATAAAGGACAGTAAGGTGTAAAAATATAAGGTAGTGTATAGTTCTCAATTGTAGTGTTGTTCATAATGACTAACATTTGTCCCCTTCTCCAATTAATGATACCAGTTATATAATCATTATTAAAAGTAATAAGGCCTGTCTGTTTACATTGATATGCAACCTTAACTGTGCACATTTCTGCGTTATAAGATCTAACAATTTTCTGTGAACCTTTAAACAAACATAATGCATCGGTTTCATTAGCTGTAGACACATTTCATATGGGTAACTGGTACTTATAAGGGTTACTATTTGTCCAATTCATCCAAATGCGTTCAGTCAATGAATGATTGCATATTGCATGCTGATAGAAAGGTGGTGGAGAAAGGTTCTTGAGGGGGGCGTGTGTGACGAATGCTAGATGAGGGGCTAAGGCCTAATTGGGCTGGGGGTATTGAAGAATTGTTCATCATGTCAGAGTCTTTTTTCAGAACTTGCCCTTGACTTGTACTCATAATGGCATTCAAGGAACAATATCAGAGGGAGTATAACAACTCCAGAAAGCATAGCGCACAACATAATCTTGGTCTCAGGTACGTATGATCCTCTCAATCTACGATATTGTGTAAAAGCCATGATGCTTCGCTGAGGAGAAATTCTTCTGTTTCCGAGCGAGGAGTGGTGTTGTCTTCCTTGGTTCCCCTCTTTGGACACAGCTTCACTCGGGATGCGTGAATCCAGATGTCATGGGAATCTGTGAGGACAGCGGTTCTGGTTACAGCAATCACAGTAGCAGGTGGTCCAAAAGGGTATCCTCCTTTCTTGGTCCTGTTCAGCTGACGGATATACACCTTGTCACCGGGCTGGTATGAATGAGTAGGTTCCTGTGAAGGTAAGGGAAAACTGCGAAGAAACATTGTCATACATACCATTCGGTTTTATCAACAATTCACCTTGTGGGGATATATTCTTATCTCAGCTAAAATAGCTGGTAGATATTTAGTCCAATTTACCCATGTTCCTGGGTAAATTCTGGGCTTTTCCTTAATAGTCCTATTCATCCTTTCAACTACCCTGTATTCTGTGGATGATAGGGTATATGAAACTGCCAGGTAACTTGCAAGAATTTAGCAAGTTCCTGGGCAACCCTACTTGCAAATACCGGGCCATTATCAGAGCCAATCTGCAGAGGGCAGCCATACCTGGGAATAATTTCAGTAACAATAATCTTCACTAGCATCTTCCCTAGATGTCACAAAGGCATCATGCCATCTACTAAACTGATTAACTATGACCAGTAAGTATTGCTGTTTCTTACCAATTTTGGATACATGAATAAAATCAATCTGTAAGTGTGTAAAAAGAGCAGCGTTCACACGATCTTACAAAAGACTGTACATGCTGCCTAAGATTCCTAATATAAAATGAATTCATGAGGAATTGAATGGTGCTTGCTATGTGCCTGACTGATGAAAATAAATCCGCTTGCTTCAAGTATGCCTATTCTTCAAGTATGCCTATTCTCCCCTCTTTAGAGAACAGATCATTTTGATCTTTCTCTAAACCTTGTTTAATCCAAAAGACAGATTCTGGGTATTTAAAAAAAAGAATCTCATAACCACTGAAGCGCTGGGCTGTCATGTGTTGTATGGTGATATTTATTATCAGCTGAGTGACCTGGTGACTGGCATGAAGTATTGTAGGATGCCCTAGTGTGATAGTAGTAGCAGTTTCAACAGCCATTGCACATGCTATCAATGCTCTGAGACACGCCGGCATACCCTGTACCGGAGCTCGAACTACTTTGGAAACGAATGCTATGGGACGCATACCGCCTCCTTGCTCTTGTGCACAGACCACGGCCATGGTTTTACAATTGTCCCAAGCATACAAATGAAATGGTTTACAATACACAGGTAGTCCTAAAGCCTGGGCTTGCACAATAACAACTGTAAGGGCAATATATGCAGATAGCATGTCTGGTGACCAGCAGACATTTTCAGGGCTGTCAGAACGTACAGCCTCCCTTAGGATTGAGTCATAATGGGAGCATTCAGGGATCCATTGGCGGCAGTAATTAATCATGCCGAGGAAGGTGAGCAACTCCTTCCAAGTAGTGGGTATAGGAATCCTCTGAATGACCTCAATACGTTTTGGACTCAATTGTCTGGTGCCTAAAGCCAGAACAAAACCTAAGTATTCAACCTTTGATTTACACAATTGCATTTTGTGTTTAACAACCTTGTGACCTACAGTTGCTGACAGTATCCACAGTGCTTGCCTCATAGCTAGGGCTACATAACAACAAATCATCAACATTTTGCAAAAAGGACGGAACCATGACCGATGGTCCATGTTTTTTTTAGAGTATGTTGGAGTACCAGCGAATAAACAGCTGGGGAATCCACATAGCCTTGGGTAAGCGTGTCCAGGTAAACTGACAGCCTTCAAAAGTAAAAACCATAAGTAGCTGTGTCTCTTGATCAATAGGTATAGAAAAAAATGCATTACTTAAATCAATGACAGTGAAGCAAGTGGCATCATGTGGAATGGCTGTAATGAGGGATGTCACATCAGGGACAATGGGTGAAATGGGCACAATTAAACTATTCAGGGCTCTAAAGTCCTGAACTAAGCGATATGCTGGCCAGTGGTGTTGGGAGTGGGTCTGGTGTTGTTCTTGCCTACCGGGCATATTTTGAGAAAGGTGGGGTTGTTGGGGTGTGTGGGGTTTCCTGGGGTTTCCTGGGGTGTGGACACTCATTCCTCCAGTGGCCATATTGGCCACAGTTGAAACAAGTGTTCCTGTCTATTCCTCCTTGGTTACCCCTATAACCCTGATTTCCCTGTCTCCATCCCCTTGCTCCTCTTTGACCACCCCTTCCACGGGCTTTATGTGCTCCATCCCATCCTTGCTCTCATCCTGTGTAGCTGGACATAATATGTTGCAATCCCTGAGCATAATAAGCAACCTTACTTTCCTAAATCTTTTCTTAATTCAAAACAACCTGCATTTTCCTTTTCTATAACCTTGGTAAGAAACTCTGAGCTATCCAAATTGGCCCAGTCTGAAATCAATTGTTTCACAAGCAAAGAATACTGTGGCAACATATTACCAAGGCATGACTGTATTTTAAGGAGATCCATATCATCTCCAGACATCAAACCTGCCTCATCCTTCCAACACTTGTAAAATTTCTTTACAAAAATCATATTACCAATCTCTTCCTTTGCATCCTGCTTATATGCCAAAGCAGTGAATATAGACTACCTATTCTTCCATAATCCCAACATTTCAGCTTCCACCTTGTTCCAAATTTTAGCACATCTTACTGAAGTACTAAACTCATAATCACCAATTCATTTCAAACCATATAACTCATACTCAGCATCCAATGTAATATTACACGTCATCTCACAAAGCAATATCTTTGTAGAAACACATAATGGGTACCCAGCAGATATGCCAATACAGAAATCACATTTATGGGCACACAACTACACACTCTGTCTCCCTCCTAGGAAACACAGATAGACACAATATAAAAGCAATCTTAAACTAACACCTCCAAATCTCCAACTATTCTTGGCCAAAACGCTAGTATTCAACAACTAATAAAACAGTTATTTGCTAGGTTATTTGGCTGTCATTCTTATCAGTATCACTAGACTGTGACAAACTGATTCACATATAATTTAAAACAACACAGCAACATATAAATTAAACCACTTTCAAGTTAAACTGCACACTTATCACACATTATCACAATCACCATTTACACAGAATAAACAGTTAACAGCTGTATTCAGAACATATTATTGGAAGGTATACCCAGGGGCGTACCTAGAGCATTTGGCACCCGGGGCGGATCCT